TGTTGCAGATTCACATCTTTGGATTGCATTTTAATGAGAAACCCCAAATCCTCCTACTTTTTAACAGAGGAAATATGAGCACGTATGGGAATTCTCCCTGGAAGAATACATCCTAGGAATTTATTTTACAGCAAACAGGACAAGAAAAATCTGAGATGCCCAAATAATGGCAGTTTCAGTGCAGTAAGGCACCACATCTACCACTCTGTGCTATCTGGGGAAGTCAGCACCTGCCCTCCTCCAGTCTTGCCCACTGGGATTTCTCTTCCCCGAGCAGGCAGCTCTACCTATAACACTGCCAAATATCAGCACACTCCCTATGTTGAGATCATCAGTTTAACACTCAGCCTAAAGAGAAAAAATGAGTTTGTCAGCTCGTATCCATTGCATGTGGAGCCATTTTGTCCTCATCACAAAAAACAAGTCCTAGCATCGTCTCCCGAGGAGAGCGTGGCAGCCGTCCAGAGATGGCAGATTATCACCAGCACTTTGAAAATGGTCTGACAGAGCCTTTTTATAATGTTTGTCATGCTACATGCTCAGGATTAATTGTTGCCAAGAGATTATCATCTTCATTCAAATTAAAGATATTAAATTAATACCGTGGAAGTTTCAAGTTCACTGGAAGGTAAAAGTGGATTTGTTATAAAACAGTCACGACTTGCTTTAGGATTACACAAAATGCAGTGGGGGTATATTCACCTCCTGTGTAATCCAGAGCAGGGAAAATTAAGGCAAAAAGCAAAGACATGCTCTGCATCAAGATTTATCAAGAATCCTTCCATGGTTCAAACAGACTAACAACAGCAGTACCACACCAGCTGCCACCAGAAAGACTGAAACCTCATTAAGCGTGCAGGCAGGTTTTAGTTTCCAACCAAATGCTCCAATAAAGCCTTTCCTTTTTTATGTAACACTTCAGACAACTACATTTTTGGTGCTGGAAGGATCTGTCTGAAAGCAAAACAAGATATTCAGAACATGTTTGTATTTAATCACAACTGGGGAAAAAAATAAAACACCGAGCTTTCAACTTTTAAGAGCTGCGTTTATCAGAATTTCAAACAAATTTTCATGATGTTATATCAAGTTATTGTCATCTTAAAATTAACAATGTTAGATCAGTTCAATGCTGTATTTCATGCTTTCAGATCATGAAGCAAAAGGAAAATTAGTAAAGAAGATGCTTTAGCAGTTTACTAACCTCAATCCACAGGTCTTTTACTTCTTTGCTTCATATAATTACTTGCTGGGTAGGGATGAGAGAAGAGGAATAGATGATAAATGCAATTGAATTAAGTAGAAATTTAATTTAATAGGATTTCCCAATCAAATGTCTTCACAAAAGATAACAGTCATTGCCTTAAATCCAAGAAAACATTAATTCCAAGTGCTATCTTTTTTTGTCCCATTGAAAAATGAAGAATATAACTTTGATTGTCTCTAATGCATGAAGTTCACAAGAGAGAATGTGTATGTTCCAAAAATATTGGAACATATGTATCACAAAATGTTGTGATACAAAGTGACAATAGATGTGAAATCATGAGCAATGCCAAGAGACCATAAATCCATCTCAAAAGAGCCAAACTGTTGAAAGCCAAACCATTAACAGGAAACCAAGTCTCTTCAGCTGTAGAAAACCAAGAAGTATATACTGAGGTGGCCAAATGATTTTAACTTTTTTATTCCCAAGGGGTTACCCACCAGCTGACTGAAGAGACAAGTAGGAAGCTGTCAAACACATCTAATTAATTCAAATTAGAGCCTCTTTATAAAAGATGTTATGAATTCACCTCTTGAAGTATGAAGATTGTACCTGGATGGGCACATTGAGCAAAGCTGAGGAATTGGAATTCTGCACTGAGAAACACACTCTGAGGGAAACTGGTACCAGGGATTGGAGCACAGATGTATATGAGCACCTAACACTCACCTGTTTCACTTCCATTTGACAAAGAAAAATGAAGAACCTGAGGCTACACACAACCTTTGCTGCAGGAATGCCTTTGTGCTATTAGTTTTGCTTCATAAAGCCATCCATCCCTGAGAATGTCTGTCTGTACCACCTACAAATACTTGTGTCTGCAAATGATTTAGTGATTCAAAACTTGAAGTTGGAAGTACTTTTTGAATGTCAGTTGAACCTGAAACTCCAGAGGAAAAAACTGATACCTCTTGGGCAGCCCCTACTGTCTTTCTGTTGTTGGCTTTTTTTTTTGAGAGGCTGCTCCGCATTAATACAGAGAGAATAAAGTTCTGCTGTATAACCTGACAATTTGTAATTTTTTTTTAATCTTTGAAACTATAATCTGGAAGTCCCAAAACAAGGAGGAAAGACTGGCTAGCACATTACAAAGTGTATTCCAAAGTGCTTTGGAAATCCAACAGTAACATTCCAAGTCCTTCTGGGTTTGTTACACATATGCAGAAGAAATAAGTCAAAGTACCTACAGATAGAGAGTTGCCTGAATTTCTCTATTTGACTGAATTTAAAGCAAAGCAATCTCACTTTATATTGTTTTCACACAGCTGAGAAATTTGAAAACCTAAAACTAGTTGCTGAAAACTCAGAGCTGCCACAGTGCCTTCCTTCCTCAGGGCTACTCAGAGCCTGCTTTCTTCCAGCTGAAGTGCTCCCAGTTTTTAACTCCCTGTTGTAGCAACCTCGTGTTATTTCCCATCAAAAACAAAATTCTGGCAATACAGCCAAGTGATGCAAGGCCTTTTTAGGCCCCTTGGTACACGGAAACATTGCAAGGAATTGAGTACATACGGTTTTCCATGGATGGAGGTGGCTGCAAATCCCAGAGCTGTGGTCCCAGACGCTTGGCAGGGTCCTATAACCAGGTACACAGAGATGTCTCTTCCAGGGGTTGTGCTGCAAATCCACACCTGGAAAACAGAAATGTGAAAATTTCCCAGTTTGAAGTTTTTAAGACACTTTCCTGATACTGGTCACACATCCTCCTGGTATCCCAGGGATTGTACTCACTGTATCACAAGCTCTGTGCTGGATTTCCAAGCAGTTACAACACAGCCAGTGCCTGAGAAGACTGACCAGAAAAAGCAGCATTGTTTTTTAAATGTGAAATCATACACAATAATTATTCTGGTAAAGCAGTTCATGCCCCCTTAGTATGGTAAAAACGTCCATTCTGGTTGGAAAGAGAAATAATAACGTAATAAAAACACTGCTATGTTTTAAATTCCGGAGAATGCAACTCCCCATGAGAGAGTGCTGAATGCAAACAAACCTTGGTAAACAATGAAAACTGTATAAAAATGCAGTTTAATCTAAATTTTCCTGTAGCTAAATGCTCCATCTCACTACATACCACAAAAGGGAGTAAGAAAACAGAAAAGAGAGAAAAAGACTTGCTCAAAGAGAGAGAAAATATTTTAAGAAGTCATTAAAGCAACAACCTTCCCAAAGAGAATAAATCTGCAAAGCAGCAGCGAAACAAGCTGCCCAGTCTATTTTATCAAAGAGCTGGGCTTTTTTCCTATTGCTTGACAAACAACTGGCATCCAAGCTGCCAATTATTTAAACACGGTGAGACTTTTAACTCCATTTAAGAGGGAAAAATATAGCTGCTGTAAATTCAATGCTGCACAACAATCTACAACAGCTGCCTACGAAATTTACTTTATGTCCTTTTTTATCTGTCTCTACTAGTACTGTTTCATCAATATGTGCAGAGGAAATGGTGCCTCTCTAGTACTGGTAGAAAGTTATTTTTGTCCTAGTCAAAGCATTACAAATAACTTGGAAATAATTAGGTAAATGGTGGATAACATGATTCTGCACTGCCATTTAGGTGGCTCTGCTTCATCACCACTTATGTGCACAATGAAATTTCTCTGCAGCAGACACAGCATTTCAAATTGTTTGTACTGTAAATTCTAATTACTGACCAAAAATTGAAAAGAAATCTGATTGATTAATGTCTCCCATGGCTTAAATACTGTGCTTGCATTCCAAGTGAGCCAGTAGCATGCCAATGACCATTTTAACCATCATGTTACTTACAGTTTAAATTACATCAACACTTTCTCTTCACCTTCCTCTGAACAAGATTTTTGCATTGGGGTTATTAATCTGTGTTGTTCTAGGTAGATAATTTATGAACTCCTATATGAGTAAGTGTGAACTTTACACTAATTTCTCTAATCTGTCTCCAACCTCCACCTACTCTTGATGAAATTTGAGAAAATTAGGACCATGAGTCACTAAAACCACTGATTACAGATCTCAGACTTTTTCAGGGATAAGTAAAAGCCCTGATCCCACTCTTTACAGAATAAAATCAGGTAACTGCCAATAAAGGCACCTTTTGAATACACCAACTATTACAAAAACCCTTCATTGTTAAAGCAGGCTTGGATAAAAATCCACACATCTTTTTATATTCATTTTAGGAAGATTTAAGTTAAAAAATTAAACAGCCTCAGCATACAACAAGGGTGCATAATAAACAAACGTCATTTTACTGAGGTCACAAGCTTTCTGAACACTGTTAATAGGTCTGTGTCAGTAAAACACAAGGTAGTGAATATCTTTTTCAACTGTATGAAAGGTGCTAAATCAGAAAAATGCTGAATTTCTCTACAGGATGCTGGCTGAATGACCAAAAATATCCTCTTTTCTGTAGCTAAGTAGAGAGAACAAGGCACATTACGACACAATGAGGCTACTGCTGACCATTAGTTATTGAGTTCAAAGGGTCAGCTCCTCAGATGGAGGCTCAGACATCTTTCTAAATCATGGAGAGAAAAATCACATCCCTTGTTCAAAAACTGTCCATTACTAACACCCAAGGAAGCAAACATTCTTCTGAGATCACCCTGTTCATAAAGGAAGATCAAAAGAATTTCTCAGCTTAAGATGGTCAGGCAGGTTAGACAGTTGTCATTTTAAAAAGCAGAACCTACTAAAGAAAAAGCAAATTAATTTGTAACAAAACCCAACAGCAAGCAATTAAGGACTCCACAAAAACTAGCTAATGAAAGATGTTTCCTTCTTTATTATTGTGTAATACTTTTCACAGAAACATAGTATTTACAAATATACACATATAGACTGCTGATCATAAAATGTTACTGAGGAATTAGTCAAAAAAAAAAATCAATTTACAAAACCCAAAAACTTTCCAAAGATATTCTGCCTGAAAAAAATTCCATGAAATTTCAAGGAGATGCTTCTGTACAGAAAGATAGGTTTTAGCTCCTCGAGTTCTGGTAAATCAGACGAGTTGTGAACCAAGTGAGCCAAGCTCAGCTGTACATTTGAGATGAGGCAGTTTTTTTTTTCAATTGTTCTTTTTCACACAATTTCTTGACTATCAGTTCAGCAGGTCTCAGGAGGCACTAGTTTGGATGTTTTTGGAAGCTGCAAGCATTGCTCTCACTTTGGCCATAAGATCCTGTAGAAAACAGAAGGAAAATGATCAGTGGGTGCCTGAGCTAAATCATGTGATTGCAAAAACCTGCATGAAAGGGGTAGTTTATGTTCCAGTCACACTGAAAACCTGGATTCCTGATCATCAAATGTTAACAGTCCCTAGGCTAAATGAGTGAAGTAATTTGGGGAAAGTTCCTATGACAGCAACTGAAGTTGGGATTTACTACAATGCTACAAAGTGCTCTGCATAAATATTTAGAGCAGTTTCTGCACAACAAAACACAGAAATCGCATCAACTGAAATGGGAAAAAACCTTTAAAAACCCTCCCGTAATGAACACACAGCTAACCACTGGAGGTTTAAAAAAGTGGAAAAAAAAGAAAAGAAAAAGCGAAAGAGAGATGGTAAGAGGTGAATGTCACAATTACTCCACAACAGAAAGTTTTCTTTGCTTGCTTTGTAAATCTGAACCAAAAATCTACACAGCAGAGGCATTTTCACACATGACAGTGACATATTCTGAATTTGACTATTTGTACCTGAGTGATTTTACTCTGCACTGAAGACACGATTGCTGAAGAGATTTGGCCATCTTTTTCCTGAGAAACTCCCCTAAAAAAATAAAAAAAGGATTAGAAATTTAGAGTAAATGTTTTAAAAATGCATTTCACTCACCACCACCATTTTGGGTTTTATTGTACATCTCTCTCACATGTTAAGTCAACCATTCTCTCATTCAACTAGAAGCCATAAGTCAGAGTCAGAAGAGTCACTCGTACAACTGATCAGGCACATCTGAAGAGCAGCCTGGGAATCTTTTTAAAGGACTGTTCTATATTCTGTAGAAATAATTTAATTATGAATCTCGTGCACGCGTTACAATTCAAACCACTCTATTAAAGTTCTACTTCAAAGAGTTATCCCATTTAGTGCAAGTTTTTCCAATTTCTAACTCAGAATGAGGTTGCAGAATTTTCTGCACTGGTTTTACTGTAAGAGCAGGTCGAGATGTTTATTCCATTAGGCAGTAGAGATCCAAGATGTTCATCAGACTGATGCACACGGTGCTGTGCTCCCTGTGCCTTCTACTTTTGCTATGCACCCACTGCACACACACCAGGTTTGGTCAAAGGACACACTCACAGCCAAGAGGCAGCAGCACTGCAGTGGTGCAGTAACAGGGCACAGTACCTGGAGCGTTCCTGGCTGGATTCCCTACTCTCCACAGGAGAGACACTAGTTGAATGTACAGAATTTTTGTGTGTGGATGGTTTGCCCGGTGACATGGATGGCGAGGGAGACCTGGCTCGGGATTTGGTACGTGATCTAGACCGCCTCTTCTTCTTCTTTTCATGGGGACTTCTGCGAGAAGAAAATATTTTACTGGAGGATATTTAAAGCAATATTACACTGCCTCAGCTGAAGGTACTTTTCACACCTCTGAAAGATGATGTAGCCCTCTTCCTCAGGATATTCTCATGCATTCAGCAAGCATTAGTCTTACCCTTCCCAAATCTTCGTTCGCGAAGCCTGGTAACCCATGAGTCTCACCCCAGTGCTCCACTTCTATAGTTGTGCAAAATAACTGTCTCAGAAGCTCTTCTTAACCTATTACATTAGGGAACTACTAGTTCCTGAGGTTCTCACTTGGAGTGCTGCTTCATGGGTACACAGGAATTACTGGCTAGTATTTGAAAGTTTGGAGAATGACAGCAAAAAGCCTTTCACTGGAGATTTGCAGAATAACTTGGTTAGAGGGAAGTTTCTTCCCAAAAAACATCAGACACTTAGAATGTAATGAGAAATAAGCTTATATTCCTTACAATTTTCCTAGCTCATAAATAAACAAAACATGGAACCATAGCTATGTAAAACATGCACCAGGCAAATCAATGGTTTCTTTGGTTTTGAAAAGAAATTGCTTCTTTCCTTGTGATCCAGCCTGCAATGCAACAAACCACAGGCTCAAAATTATCAACAACCTACTGTATTGCACTCAAACCAACCTGGACCTGGCAACATGTCTCAAGTGCAAAATGTTTGCAACTTGGAAATTAGATGCACAAATATTTGTCACTACAAGAGTTGAAACAAAAGCCTTATGGGCACCTGATGTGTTCATTATTGACAGAAAGGGAACAGAGGTACTCACCTTAGAGGCAATATTAGGCTTGAAGATAATTCAATTAGTAATATATTAAAGACAGAACTATCCAAATTTTTTACCTGGTTATGAACTTATGTCTGTATGATTTACATACCAGTATTGACATTACTATAATTAGAATAACCAGAGTAATGCCTTAATTAGAGTTAGGCAATACCTCATTGTAGGCATCTCTCTCTAGTGTGTACTGCTAGAAGTCTATTCAGAAGAACAGTGTTGAAGCTTCTAGAACATCTTAGAACACTGTAAAACTTTAAGCCATCTTTTAAGTATCACATTATTTGTTCCTTTCTTTTACAAGTAGGAGTGACATAATTCTAAAAATAATTTATGATTTAAAATGCTGAATGGTCAAGCAGGAGACACAGCAACACTGCATTAAAAATAGCACAGGGCTGTGAAAATAATTCTTGTGTGTGTTTATAGGAAGAGAAACATTTTAAGCTTCCATATCTTTTCTGCTTAACCAAATTTGCATGCTGAATTCCACAGAAGCCTCTATTATCTTCACTTGATGAATGTTAAAAACCGAATCACTGAAGTACACTTATGAAGTTTTCAATTATACCTACAACACATCAATTAATTAGAGGCTGTCAGGAGATGGAAAGTTATCTTAAGAAACAATAGGAATTTTTTAATAAAGTTGAAAGTGATCTCTTTGTTTCTTATTCCACAAGAGATATGCAGAAACAATTTAAAGACTAAATGTGTTTTTGGTATTAAAACAGACAATATGCAATGTGCTCTCAAAAAAGGTACCTCGATTCACACTCCACATTCCACTCTGTGTCAGTAAAATAACTGCAAAATGTAAATCAAACTGTTTGCTAAACTGGAGTTGCCCTTATTTTGTTCAGATATGATGTGATGTCAAGAAAGATGACATCACACTTGCACCGTGACCTGTGCAGGTCACACAGCTTGCACAAGCACAGCATGAGAAAATGACCCAACAAGAGGGAAATATGACATTCCAAGCAGAACCTGAGCTCCCATGGCCAGGAGGCAGCAGTGTATCAACATTCAGTGTGGTTGGACATTTGATGTTCACACACATGCAATAACAGGGAAGAAGAATAAGTGCCTCTATTACTGTATTTTCTCCACAGAAGTTTTTTTCTATCAAACTAAACCCCCAGAACACAGAAAGGTAAGTTCTAGCCAGGGAGTCCACAGCACACCAGGCAATGTTTAAGCCTGGCAGGTCCCAGCCCTCTCCAGGCCTGGGCACACTCACTTGGAGCGGGGCCGTTTCCTGCTGTTGCCGGGGCTGTTGCTGATCCGATAGGCCGTGGGAACGCTCCTCTCCTCCCGCCGCCTCTCTGGGCTGTGAGCCCTTCTCCTGGGCGACCTGGATCGGGACCTGAGCAGAGAAGAAACACTCACAAGTTTGCTTTTTGTTAATTATTTCATTACTTCTACCTCAGTGGAATTGTGCTGCCACCAAATGCAAGTATAACACCTTTCAAATGCCTGTTTTATACCAACATGGGGTATTAAGTCTCCAAGACTTGTCAGCTGCATAAAAAAAAATCTCTTGCCCATCCAAGACATTTTAAGATGAGGTCACCCACTGCTTTTCACTCCCAACAGGAAGGTTAAAAAAAAGGAATTATTTTATTGCTATTGTCTGTAATGACAACTTCTGCATTAGTTCTCCTTTAGTCCAGCCACCTTTTGTGGCAACAAAGACCTAGAATAAACCAAAAGGTTGTAATGTGTCAACACTTACTCCTGTTAGTGCAGTTAAACAAACAAGGAAAGCACAAGGAAAATATAAGATGAGAAATTTTGGCACACTGCCATTGGGGGCTGGAAGCTGTTTTCCAGGAAGAAGCAGGTGCCAGAGGCATGGCCACAAAGGGAAAGCAGTGTATGATTCCACATGCATCACGTGCACATACAGGGACTGCTCTGTGGCAGGGCATTCAGATGTGACAAATTTTACAGACAGCAAACTTTCAAGGTGCCTAAACCCAAATAGCTTAGATGCAATTAACAGTATCAATGTAACACAATATATATCATCTTATAGCTGGATAATCAATGTAGTGTATTTAATCTCATTAATGATTAAATAGAGTTAACTGGGTTACATTCTTGTGGTCTCTCCCTCATCAACTCTGTTTTCACCCTTCTTGAATTCCTGTCATATTTCTCCTGCAATTCATCCATCATATTTTTTCACATGCCACCCAACTGCTTTGTTTCCTTCTGAGCTTTGATGTTCAGCCACCCAGTTCTCTATTCCCTATATCAATATGTCTAGTTATTTTGCTCCAGCAACAGCCACAAACTTATTAGCCAAGTTCTCTTCTTGCTGTCATCACATCCCTACATAATATCACCAGGTATTTTACAGACTAGAGTGAAGAAGAATTTATTGCACAAGTTTGCACTATGTAATTAGAAATTAATGATTCATTATATCATTAAAACCACTTTCAAAGACCTGCCACAGTTGATGATATTTATTTATTGTCTTCAAGCTGACTGTACCAATGCTTATGTAATGGAAGAAGTGCAAAGATATTTTAAAGAGATATACAGCAAAAAAGCTTGTTAGCCAATTGATAGCCAAAAGTTTTAAAGAGATAAATAGCCAAACATAAAGAACATAAACAGTATGTTTGAACATAAAGAATATGTTAGGCCTCCAAACCCACCTTGAATGCCTGACAGTTCTATAGGCAGTGGGAAGTGAGTGCTTTGCTTTTGAGTGTGATCTAGACCTGGACTTGGATGATGAATGATACTTGAATGGTGATCGAGATCTCGACCGAGATCTTTTCTTGTGTTTTTTCCTTTTCTTCTCCTTTTCTTCATCCCTGGGAAGGTCTCTGCTTCTGCTTGAAGGCCTTTCTGCTTGTTTAACTTCCAAGGTGGGTAAAGCTCTGACTGCAGTCACAGGACATGGTATACTGTTGACACTCTGAAATCAAAGGTAAACAGAGAACAGCGTTCACTTTGCAAGTCAGTCGTGCTTCATGAGGATTATGTAAAGTGTGCATAAATAAGGCTGACATCTTCAAAAAACATCTATCTAGCAGAATTTAACAGAGGCCTGTACAGTTCCCCAAAGATACATATGCAAGTTGGTATATGCATGCTAAGACTGTCAGCTTAACTAGGACATAGTTCTGAAGTTTTCATTTTTAGTTCTTAGAAGAAACGTGTTCTAAAAAGTGGGTGCTATCAGATATCTTTTAGTCTACTTATCCCCTTTATATAAAAAAGGATGAGCCTGAAAATACAATCAGGAACTTCTGACATTCAAAGTTAAGTTTTCTTTCTGAACTCTGCAAAACAAATGTAAAGGGTTGGGAAGATAACAAAAATTATTAATCTCAAAGACAAAACAGGTCCATGCACAGTTGATGATCAGTGAGTAATTCCAATGCAGGAGATTAAGCAAAACCACACTGAGACATTTTCAAATTATCAGCTTCTACCCCAGAGAGTTCTGCTCAATACCTTGTTTGGAACAATTCAAGTCAGGCATTATAGATATGCTCCTCATTTCAAAGCCTGTCATTCCCCCAGCTGCCCTTTCAAGGCAACTGGAGAAATCAGTTCCCTCTGTCATAATTTCTGCTCCACCTGGTCTGACACTTTCACCGTTTGATACAAGGATACTTTACCATGACTGGAATAAAAAGGAACACATTAAAACCTGAAACAACCAAATTAGAATCAGGTGATCTTTTCCTTTCTTTTTGCCCTTCTCCTACCATGAATATATCAAGGCAATAACCGGCCACATTTGAATAGTCAAAAAGCCAGTTCTGCTTCAGGTTAGAGAGCTGTGACACTTTTCTGTGCTGTAACTAATAACTGCTGTCACAACACTCACAAAACCAGCAATAAAGCAGTACTAAGGCAGTTTGCTTCAAAGATTATAAACATTTTACAGCATGATCATTTGAGTGACTGGTTTACCAGAGGCCCATTTCCAATTTCACATATTCCACATGTAACTGCAGACACCTCCTCTCCAAACTTCAGAGTTTCCTAAGAGGCCACCACTGCTGACTTTTGTTCCTTGACAATGTTATTCATGTCTTTATACAGCACCTGATCCTTTGCTTTGAACACTACTGAATATGTAATAGCCCAGTTTGCCTTGAAGTAGACACCTCTAATAGCTTGAAACAAAGTAGCTGTAGGCAAAGTAGAGTTAAGAGGAAAACAAGAGAGGGAAGAAAACCCCAATGGTTTTCAGTGCCCAAGTTCATTTGGTCGCATAAAACACAAGCTCTCATTAACTTCCTTTTTGGTAGAGGTAGAAATGAGTGACACATTTACCTGTGCCTCATACAGAGAGATTCTCTCAGCAACCTGAACAAAAAAAACCACAATGCCAAGCCCTGCTATGTGTATCCACCAAAAGCATCCAGTGCTGACAGCGTGGGCTCTCCTTGGCTTTCAGGAAGTTGACACTGAGGAGCGACAGCACTGTCCAGATATCCCTGAGAAGCTGCAGGATGGCTGGAGATTCAGACACCACGTTTGGAAAGCCACACAGAAGTAACTTTAGCTACCCCAAGGTGAATATGCAGTTTCTGCAGTGAAATACAACAGGTGACACACAGGGGGAAGTCACCCCCCCTTCACCGTGACAGTTGTCAGGTCACAACACCACAATGCTGCTTCCCTCAGTGGCAACTCTGGCTGCCTTCAAACTAAAAAAGCACCAGCAAAATGACCTGATTCACCATCAGAGCAGAAGAGAGAGCTCAGTGAAAGCACGTCAGCAAGTTGCTAGGCCACAAAGAAAGTTTCTAGTGTATAAATAATGCCGGTGAGTAAAAATATTTGGAAAAAAAATAAACCATCTGGAGCGTCTGGCAAAGTTGTCAGTGGTTTGTATTTTTACTAGTGGAAGATGATCCAGGCAAAATAAGGTAATGGGAACTAAAATTGCAGGCATGAATGCAGAAAAAGGTAATTTTTAAAAAAGGAAAAAATAAAAAAATCACATCAAGCACAGAAGCATTTCCAAAAGGCAGAAACACTCTGCTTTACTGACCAGGCTCTGCCAATTCGCAGCTCAGCTGAAGAGTTTTGGAAAGCACGGAAACAAACTGGTTACCTGATGAATTTTATTATGCATCTCAAGGGATAAGAGACTGACATTTTTTCAGAGCTCTTCTAAGAAGTTAAACTGCAAATGTTCAGATAGCATTCACTGAACCTCACTTGTCTGTCCATTTTGGGCAACAGCACATTTTTTTGGCCATTACTAAATGCTACAGTGACAGACAAATTCACTGGCACAGTTGTTCTTCAGCATTTTATTTGCATGACTGAAGCAAGTCTGACTAAAATAATGCTAAAAGATGATTCAACAACTCTTGTTTAGCAGGAATGGGTTAGGAAAGAGCTCTATAATAAGGAGAATTTATAGCTATATGAGAACAGAAACGAGCACTTCAGTTCATTACAAGTCATTTGCATATTTGCAGTATTCATAAGCCCAGAACATACATTAGTTATTCTGGGGTTACACTACTTAATCAATACACAAAGCCAAAATTAGAAGTGAACCAAAATGTGCTCATTGCAACAGAACAAAACACTAGTAATGTTCAAACAAAACCAACTGGCAAAGAGCACTGTCGATAACATTACTAACACTTCTATAATTGGCTAATATTTCTTTTCCAGTAATTTGAATCCTGTATTAGATCAGAACTGAAAGAGTTAATCAATAATTCTTTTACTTCAGTAAAATGTGAAAAAACTCCAGATTCTTTTCTACCACTGTATCTTTTTTTACTGCAGGTTCCTCAAAGCTTATGGTGAAGTATTCCCTGACTGAGAATTAATAAGCAAATGTCCATCAGAAATGGAGTGCATTATATTCTGATTTATTACTCTGTGCAATAAAGTAAGCAATTACATCTTTTTAGAAGTTTGTCAGTCTCAATAAACTGGCCCAAAATTATTAAACAGAAGAGATAAAAATATTTCCTACAGAACAAATTCAATACTCAAAGACTCAACAGTTCCATCAGGGTTAAGGTGCTGCACTAAAACCCAGCTATTGACAGTACCCTGACCATGGTAAGGTCTTCAAAAGCAGATAAAATTTGGTATCCTCAGTTTTGAAGGGCCAACTGCAAAGAAATTAGTGGCTGTGAATCAGTTTGCTATATGGATCAATATGCCTTTGTATCTTGAGTGCTTTGAAGACTAAAAATCAACACATAAACATTCTTAACTCCTCATCTATCTTAATTAAAATGGCAGATCCTGATATTTACCTTTTTTCTCCCTGTTAAATTATGATTAAAGAATTTATACTGTGAGGAATTACAACTCTCATGCAGTTGTTGGTAGTAGGGTTATTGCAATAAAAAAGATCTTCCAAATGCCATCAAGTTATCCACCCCCCAAATGCCAAATTAGTATGTGACATTTTATGTTTTTCCTTTATCTTGCTTTTTCAAAAGGACAGACAGATTTACAAGCAAACAAACCCATCCTACCCTCTCATGCTAAACAGAAGATATAGATACCTATAAACTCTGAAAAAAAAAGTAAAGAAGTTAATGACTCTGAAATATTCTAAAGCATCTTTTCTTTAACTACTTATTGGATGGTTTTCATTAGACAATCACATTTTGCTCAAAAATTAACATAAAGAAAATAGGCAAACACAGAATGGTGTTTACATTATTTTTCCAAAAAGAGGAATGCAGCAGTATCTGCAGTCCACTGCTAAAAAAGTAGGATCAACTACAGCAATCAGTGTGAAAGACATGCACTGTCTGCAGTGGTTGATTACCCTGTTATGCTTGACAAAACTAGAAGAGCATCTCATTTTTAAACATGGCACACTTCTATTTCACTTGTAAACAGACTATTTTCCACAGGAAAAAAAAGAATTGTTACATACAGGACAAAAGTAAGGACAAGCCATCTAAAGAAACAAATGATAAAACAGGGCTTCAAAACAGAGAAGATGAAAGAGCCAAAAGAAGGAAAAGTTTTGCTTTGTGCCACAGAATCTTTATATTCAGAGCCACGACAACAGATGACATTTGGGACAAGCCATTAAAATAATGTCACTTCCAAATCATGTGCTTTGCCTGGTTTTGCAGCGTTATGACTGTGGATTTCTCTTCTTGTTTAAATTGGACACCAAGGTTTATACAAGTAACAGTTTGGGTATAACCAACTGTCTTTTACATGCCTATCAAAGCACTGTCAGCCCTAAAACATTTCTGACATAGGATAAAATATGAGAGATTAGCAGAATAATCCATACCAAGGCCTACTACCAAGGATATACAAATATAATCTCAGTTTTTAAAATTTCAATTCTTTTTAATAATTTTGAATAATATTTGCATTTCAGATTATGAAACACCTTCCTTTATTTGTTTTTAAGCGAAAAAAGCAGTTCAATGCAGCACTACTACAAAGGATATACAAATATAATATCAGTTTTTAAAATTTCAATTCTTTTTAATAATTTTGAATAATATTTGCATTTAAGATTATGAAACACCTTCATTTGTTTTTAAATGAAAAAAGCAGTTCAATGCAGCACTCCAGATAACCTGGAGTGGCAGATCCTGATATTTACCTTTTTTCTCCCTCTTAAATTATGATTAAAGAATTTATACTATGAGGAATTACAACTCTCATGCACTTTTTGGTTATTGCAATAAAAAAGAATTTCCAAATGCCATCAAGATAATCTGGAGTGCTCCAGCTTGGCATGTCTAGAACTGCAGTTGTTGAAACTACAGGCTGCTCCTGTTGTAGGACAAGGAACTTGCTCTTGCTGCAGAATGACAGCAGCTCCTCTTTAGTGACACTGACAGATGTGGCACTTGGTGTGATTTGCTTGTTCCAGAAGAGTGTACCTGAATTAAACATGTAAACACGAGAAGGGAAATGTCACCCGGGCACTGTTTCCCCACGTCCTGAAAAAGGGCACAGACTTCACCAAGCACAAGGTCACTGGGAGCTGCTCAGCTGTGGGAACTGAGCTCAGCTCCACGTTTTCCAACTACTGGTTTGAGAAAATATTCTGCACCACTGTACTGTTGTAATAATGCATGCAAGAACAGTGAGGAGCCATTTGTGAAAAGCTGTGCTGCTTCACTGCTCCAGCTCATTTTTCAGCCTTTTTGTTTCTTTCTCTTGCTTCATTTCACTTAAAGAAAAACAGGAAACCATATAAAAGAAATAATTCAGCTATGGAAAACGTAGAGCTGACTATTTTTAAGATTCAGCTGAAGCCAAACCAGCTTAAAAGTGCTCTGTTCTACGGTATTGACTGTCCTTTACCTGCAGTTAGAAGAATCAATTTGATTCAAAGATATAATGTATACTCAGTACCAGCCTTTCTTTCATGAAATACAAGGTATCAGGAAAATCCAAGAGAGGTCACAAAAGCTTTGCACATTTAATGCATTTCTGCACAGTGTGATAAAGGGATTCTCAGCACAAATGTACACTGTGTGTACACATAAAGAGCATTACTAGTTTTTATACAGCTATTAGGCTGGGGCAATGTCATGGAAAAAATGCACCTCCCATGGACATTCTCAACTCCCCTTCACTCTTTATTATACATCCCAGTCATTACTCAGCTTCTGAGAGACATTTTAAGCTACAAAAATCACACCACTACATTAACTCGAAGACCAGTGCATATCAATCTTTTGTCTCCTAGACTCCTCATTGGATGTTCCTTCCCCCAAAACAGGAGAGGAAATACAATAAGTGACACCTTCGGTGGATGCAAATATTTAATTTTTTCCTTTGTTTTCAGACTAATTAATTTTCTGATTTCATTTCCCCAACTAGTTCCACTGGCCAAACTACAAAACTAATTTTACATGTCTTTCTCTCTTTCCTTTTTACCATACTTCCTTTTTATTACAGTCACTGCAGTCACCCTCTTGTTACTTTTGTAATGAGTGTTTTCAAATGCATCTTGTTTCTGAAACACAACTGAAAAAGCTTAAAAAAACCAAACCAGTGGTATGTATTTATTTACAAGTCAATTTAGACATCACGATGCAGCTTTCTGGATTCTCAGGGTATATAAAACACAGGTTAACAAGTCTGCAACATGATTTCACTCATCTTTCACCAACACAATTTCTTAACTCAAATGGGCTGTTACAAATAGGCAAAAGCAGGCAAGGGGAGAAAAAGGCAGATTATTTGGAATGAATGGAGATGGAAACTTTTCCAAATATGGCAAATGGAACAACAGCTTGAAAAACATTCACGTTCCAAAATAAGCTTTTAGATGCAAAAATCTATAAGCATATATCTACATAAGTGTGCCACTAAGCAAACCATACTTAGCAGGAATATTACTTCCAAAGACATGATGGCATTTTAGACTGTTTATTAAAACAGTACTAGCATTCCCAATGCAACAGCCAATTTTATTTTTAAAAAGCAAGGTCATATCAGAAACATTTAAATATATAACTGAAATTCTAAATAAGCCCTTTAATAAAGAAAGCACCTCCAAACCATTTCTATTGGTAAGAAGCAGTGAAACAGGTTATTTTAAAATTATCAACTACACTGGAATTTTCTGTGTAAGAAAAAACAGATGCCTTCTCTGAAACTGTACATATTGAGGGAGATGGAAAAAGAAGTTTCTAGAAAATCAGCTTACTGAGAAGTGGGATAGGGAGTGTTTTTTTGTTGAGAAGTTCACTTGCTTTTCAGTAAGTTCAGCTTAGAACTTCAGTAAGTTCAGATGTGAGCAAGAACATTCATCTCCTCTTCTGAAAAAGAGTCAGCTGTCACTGGTTATTTCAGGCATTCTCTTAAAGAAAAATATCAAAAGAACCTGAGCTTAGAAATATCTGTCCTTGACAAATTCCCTTGAGAAGGAGAGCAGAACTGCAAGTCTGGGGAGTTTTGCATTGTCATTGTCTCTTTGCATTCAGCCTTCAATATATAACTGAGAAGAAGAACTGAACACCTGTGGCAGGGAAAATTGGTCAGTGGTAGCAATGAGAAACCCAAAGCAGATCTCTTTTGGGATGTGACCACACAATTCTTACATCTGCTACTCTGTGCTGTTAAGGATCAGCTAAACTGCAGGTATGACCCTTTCAGTTGTTCTCTTGGAAGTGTTTTCATGGTTAATCCATGATTTATTTGGGAAAAAAAATAAAATTGAGAACTGGGCAATTAATTATTTGTTAGGTACTGGAATTCTTTCTGTGGGAAAGAAAATGATGGAAAGCCATGCCATTCATTCTTGTAACCAGTCTGTCACAATCAATATCTAAAGTTTTCTATCTGTATCCAGAGATGACATTTGGCTTGATTAGTGCAACTGGATTCTTTGTTTTACTGCCTTTCCTGGAAGCAATGTAATTCCAAAGCCAAGAAACTGAGGTTCTACTTCCCAACAATGTTTGTATTTGCAACATGCATCAAACTCACCAATATACACATTAAATAAGCATCAAGACTGATATCCCAACGCTCTTGAAAGGTGAGCACTCCAACAGATGGACCACTAGTACAGAGTTAAAATGTGGAAGATCCTTTTCCTTTCTGTACCTGGCTAACTGACCTCAGAATTTGTGCAGCACATTTCTCTACCAGTTCTTTAATGACAGATGAGAGACATATGTAAGATAACTGAAAAAGATTAACAGTGTTTAAAATTCAAATTTCTCCCCATTTAGAAACCCTTCCATCTCTTCAGTCAAATCCATAACACGCTGTCAGATTCACACACTCCAGAGTTAAGTTTTCTGCCAGCTTTTTATGGAAAAGAGAAATTTATTTCCTGCTTACCTCGTTACTGAAGGAATTCTCTTCCATTTTCTCAGTTTCTGCCTCTGCCAGAGGGTTTTTCAGGGTCTGCAGGAACAGGGCAGCTTTCCTTTTGCGCTCTGCTTGTAGCTGCTTCTCCTTGGATTCTTTGGAGGCCTGTGCAAGCTTCTCCCTTGCAGCAGCTGCTAATCTGTCCTCTAGTTTCTGCTTTGCTAAGAAAGACAATTAAGCACAGAGTAATTCTGGGGGAACTCAGCTTTCCTTGAAACAAAAACACACAAAAATCACACACCAGCAAACAGCCTCTCCAGCCATTCTCAACCCTTTCTAATACATCCATTCAATGATAGGATAAGGATATATCAGATTGAAATTAGGAAATTCCAAGCATCTTAATCACAGATATATCATTTGCTTGACGAAAAGCAGTACAGGGGAAGCAAAAACTTTTAAACTTAAAAAAATCCCAAATGACAGGCCCTGGGCAGGAATGGGGGCAATTTGATTCTTTTAAAACATCTTTTCATTCAAATTCACACAGCATACCCTTCTGTCCTTTCCTAGTAACAAGAAAAACCCACAGGAAGACTTAATGGCATTGCATTATAAGGGTAACAAAACATCAACTAGATGATATTAGTCTATATGGGAGTGCTATATAACTGAAAAATAGCTTGAAGCAATTTGTTGTTCTCTGAAGAAAATGAGAAACAGATATGCCTTTGCTTGGTTCTGTTAATGCAATCTGGGAACCAAAAGGTTAGTGTTTTACTGAAGGTTGTAATGGAAAACCAAAAAAAAATTCAGAAAGATCAGGCATTAGGGCAAAGCACTTGACAGCAGTCCATTAAAAGTTTGAGTTTAGCTGAGCAACCAATGAAGATTCAATTCTTAACAACAAGAAGCAAACTCTGGTAAAAGAAAAGAATTCTGATTCCTGTTAACATGACAGAGAAAAGATTCAACACACTACAATGCCACACGTTCACATGACAGTTTTGCAGTTTCCCTGAAGGACTCAAAGCTTCATTTAGTTTTCAGTGCCACATGCAGTACCTTGTTTAGCTTCCAACTCCTCCTGTGTAAGTTGAGGTTTTTTCTCTTCTGGAGCAGCACAAGGTGTGGTAACTGCTGGGGTATGGTTTGAAGCACTGTTGGCATTCTCTTGGCCTTCCTTTCCCTCCTCCTCCTCCTCATCACTGTCATCATCTAATTTCACACGGTTTTTCTCCAAAGGAAGAAGGTCGTTTTCTTTGGCCTTGATTGCAAAGCTTATTGGAGCAAACGATGCTGTGAATGAATGGGGGAGATTTCACACATCATTAGGCAACACAATAGTTTGGGTTTTTTTTGAACAAATTTGTTTTTAAATAAATGGAAATTTCGTTTGTCGTGTAAAGACCTGAAAAAAAATTACAGCATTAATTTCTAACCCATTTATCCAAAATGAGACTTCAATGAATAAAGAATGGAATTTCTCACACATTTCAAGCAAAGCAACCTACTACCATATGGTCTGCTGCAATGTGTATCTTCCTCAGGATGCCTTATGCATATATATCCTATAAGATTTACATATAGTAATTAAATTACATACCAAGGTTTATAAAATACATGCTTTGATTCTGGTAATTCTGGGTTCAGGAAATATGCTCAGAAACAGAGAACTCAAGCATTCCAAGAGAAGTGATAACAGTGGTCTTCCAACTTTTTCATGTGACAAAACAAATCCTGAAACGGGATTTTTACTTCCTCAGAGGCAGAAGAAAAATCTAGTGCCAATGTTCTGTCTGTCTTGCAGCCAAGTACTGTATTTAGGTTACAATAAAGTGGTATTTGTACCATATTAAAGGAAATGAAAATAAATATTTACAGGAATTGTCATGAAATGACTCACTGGTTATATTCCATCATCCGAATTTGAGCAGATTACTGTTATGAAAGCACAGGCTCCAGTTTGCCATTTATTAATAACACAACAAGAAACAATACCATTTTCTCGTGAACATTGTGTTCCCTTAACAAAGCACCTCTGAAGACAGGGAGGATTGCTCCTTCCCCAGGGAAGAAAGGGCAGAGTAAGGACAGTGAGGCAACCACAGCAAAGAGCCTGGAGCCTGCAGGCCCTGGAGGGAATGGGAGTGCAGTGAGAAGCAGGAAGAGAGAAGAATTCCAAGGGACCACAGGATGTAGATAAACTTATGAGCAACTAAGTGAGGTGGCAGGAAGGCAGCTTCCATCCATGGAAATACAGGTCAAGAGTGTTTTTTCTGTTTCTTTTTTTTTTTCTCCAATGGCTTTCAGTTCTAGTTAAAAAAATTTAAATTTCTAGTTTTTACTGCAGAAAAGGAGAATTTTTAAGGTATCTTTTCCTGATAGGCCAGGAAATCAGTTCCCAGATATAAATAATCTCCACTCAGGGCACTAAGAGTGTGTTAGCTGACTTTGTTTGACTGGCTTCCAGAAAGATCTTCCCATTCTGTCCCCCTGCTGCTACGACTACAAGAGGAAAAACATTCCACTCAAGACATGAAAAGGGGTCTTTTTTTCCAGCATGACTAATGTCCAACACAGGAAGACTGAGCAACAAGCCTAAAGTACTTCCTCCATACGTATGCTTTCAAATCAGACCACTGCTTTTATTCAGAACAAATAACTTCTGTCTTGCACAGAGCTTGTAACTGTCAAGTTCAAAATGACGAAAAATAAGATTCTGCTGGGGTCAGTGATGAAAGCCTTCAACTTAGCACAAAACCAAAGTAAAACCATTTATTCTGTCAGCCCATAAATACCTGATAGTCTGATAAGAAAGAAATATGAAAGCAATCAAATTACTTATTTTGATGCCTTCAGTGCAAATGTATTTTTCACATGATGAAATTCTTTTCCTTCCTTTCCCCCGCCTCTCTCCCACCTTCTTTTTTTTCCTTGTGTGTATGTTAACAAATACTTTCATGCCCAATAAATCACCTTAACATACCTTTCACCAGTTTGCCATCACTGACAGCTTTAGGAGGAGGAACATCCTTTTTAGTTCCTGGAACTCCTTTAGAGCTTGGCTCAGATGCATCTTCAGGTGCATGTTCATCTGCAAACTGAGTCTCGCTTGGGGTATCGCTGGCAGCGTCTGCTGGAACATCTTCAGAGGAAGAGACTCCCTTTTCAAAAGAAATGTGCAGAATTACTAACTGGCTGGTTATGAAATAATTAATGCAGCGTCTGTGGAGCTGCAGTTTTGCCAGCCATTTCAAAAATCACATTATCAGCTAATCACATAACAGCTATTTTTATATCACTGAGCACTCATGACCGTAAGTCTGCCTCATGTAAACCCACTGTGGGCTGTAAAACCTACAGACCTACTGTAAGAACATGTTATTTTACAGCAAAGAAAATGTTCTTCAGCTGATATACTTTTGCCAAAAAACACTTTAAAAACTATATTTTTAAAATTAGACCCTAAAAACATATGCTTTTTTTCCCCAAGTATATTCTTTAAGGTCTTGACCTTCAGGGTCCCAGACCAAACCCATTAACGTTGATTCCCAGGGACAAAACACAAGCTTATAACACGTTTTTCCTAACGTACAATTGCATGATAACTTCTTCAACAGAATCAAGTTTTACAGGGGTCAACAGAGGTTGATTTGTTCCAACATCTTGCTGAAGAACACTGGGTCTAGCAATGTTTTTGATACAGTACAGATGTGCTGAGATTTCTCAAGGGAGTAAAGAATTCCTGGTTGTGCTATTACATGACTGAATCATTCAGGACCATCTCTGAACTCACAGTATAAAAATTTCAAGATGGATATTACAGAACATTCAAAATATTTACATGGTGAGTCAGGTGATGACATTAAGTAATTTAACATTGAAATGTGCCTCTCAATAAAGAGTTTGGTTGCATTCCACTGGCTGTTGTTAAGTATGTTTGATGTTGAAATTGAGGCACTGAACAGATCTCCCCTGCAGCCATTCCCTGACCAACAGAACTAATTTCTGAAAATCCTCAAAGGGGAAAAACACAGTGAAATCAAAGACTTCATCGTGTATTTACTGAGGCCAGTAGCACAATTTCTTATTAACTTTAATGGCCAAAAGGAGGAGCATCAATTGCATTAGTTGTCTATACATGTATTACTAAAGCATAAAGATAATATTGAAATCATTATTTAAAAAAAATGAAGAGAATGGCATTATCTACAAAGCCATGCAGTACAAAAATATGCATTGCTACACTTGACCTCGAGGGACTTAAGTCAGCTTCTGTTGCTTCTGAGCTGTACTCATTTAAAATGAATCCTTTATTATTATGCTTTGGTTAGTGTACAATTTCCCCCCAAATAAGTGTTAATAAGTCCCTATTAATTATCTAAGTATTAAGAATTCAACCCACTGGTTTGCAAATAAGACATTCTAGAATAACAGTCAACATTGTGGCACAGGACAATTTTGCTTGCAATTTATCAGCTGAGTAAGATAATATTTACCACAGCTTATCTTTAAAAACAGTATTTTCACAACGTTTTTCACTATTACAACAAAACATCAGACACAAGTGTTTCAAACAGCAATGAGTATTGAATTTCTTCATTTTCCACAAAGCAATTCCGAGGAGTTTACCCACAGGCCTACCTTCTTCAGTTTAAGGCTCCCCAATCTAAGCCTTGAGATGACAAATGACATAGGGCCTAAAAAAAAAATAGCTCTTTCCCATGAAAAGTTAACATCAGATAATGTAGTTCTGATACTATTTGCAATTTTCTTTTCAGTAAGAGAACAATCTACTTAGCTAGCACGAGAATAGTTAAAAGACATGGATGCCAAGGCTGGCTATCACCTTCTAATAACATGGACTAGGAGAAGCAAAGCAAGTAGGAAACTCATGTGAGATTCTGAAGCTCCAGCATTGTTGCAGTCATGACAGGACTCTTAACAACACTTCCTCAGAAAAAAAGCATGTCAGAAAACTAGTCCAGCCTCTGTGCTACTGCTGTACAAAGAACCACGAGGCACATGAGAAGGCGTGGGTGTTAAAAGCCAGACCTCCCCTTTCTGACAGCACAACGCTGCTCACAATCCTACAGAGCTCTGAACCTCCACAAAGCACACATTCCCTCAGACAGAAAGCCCAAAGATTTTCAGGCTGTCATTTTATATTGCAACCAGAGTGAAGTGGTTTATACTGAAAAAGAATTAAGCACCACATCACCTCACATATCCTTATATGCCATACAAAACTAAAAAACAACAAAAAAAGCATTCACATCCTTTGCTGAACAATTTCTCCATAATTCCGTGTTTCATTTTTAAAATGTCTCATGGTAACACAACAGATAAACCAGCCCTTTTCTCACTTTCACTGCATTTTTAGTAGAAGTATATACAAACACACATGTACCTGGCAGTTGTCACTGCTCTCTTTTTGAAGGAAGAACTGTTTTTTAAATTCATAATAAGCATTATACTGGTGCCATGGTTGCAGGAACTCAAACCTGTGAAAAGAAAACTGATTATCTGAAAATGCACATGAACATAGTGAATACCAACAATTCTTTGCCATCTAATTTTCTCTAGCAAATGAAACATTATTTGATGTTTGGAAGGACTCTTATTTATGCCTAAACTTCAGAGGATACATATTCAGAGCATGCTTACTAGAGACATTTTCAATAGGCTGTTTTTTTTGAGAATTTGGGCAATAATGCTTTGGCCTTACTTTTAAGTAGGTCCCTGAATTTCAAATTAAAAAAAAAAGACAGTACTTGTCTACTTGAAACCCACATGCCCTGGTAATATATTTAAAAACAAAACTGTCAACTTTTAAAACACAAGTTTAAATAACATTTTCTCTTACCTGAGATCATTCTTGGCACGAACACTGGTTTCAAATTTTACCCCATTCCTAGCAACATACTCAGCCAGCTTATCAATGACAGGTTGGATATCTGGAGGTGGAGGTATAATGGCAACCACGGGAGCAATTGTGCTGAAAACATCAAGAGTAAATGGTTTTTATAAATAGAACATAAATATCTTTCAGACTCTTGCTTTAACAACAACAAAAAAGCACACGGAGGTTTGTTCTCTGTACGCATTTAAACTTGATTCAGCAACAGAACACTCCATATACTAAATATTCCATATTGAAGTGCAGGAAGACCCCTCCAAACAATGAACAAATCTGCACAAGGTACCTTGTAGATGTTGTGGTGGAAGTCAAGCCACTGCTGCTGTCACTGGTGTCTGGGGGAGGTGGAGGTGTGGTGCCAGGGGGGGGAGGCACTGTTGCTACCCCTGTAGTGCTGGACACAGTCACCCCTGCGGGCAAGGTGCTGTAGTAGGTGGCAACATCTATTCCTGGAGGTGGAGGTGCCAGGCAATAGGTGCCATCAGGGAGCATGTAGTAGCTGTAATACATGGCTGCCACCGTGGCTACGAAAAGACAGATTTAAGAACAATGTTCTGATTAGAAGAAAAACACCCAGTTAGGAAAAAAGTTATTGCATCAGTACGTTGAAAATGCAGATTCACACCACACACTAAGAAATGGTGTGTAAAAAAACAAACAAAGAAATAGAAGGCAGCTCATGTTTATGCACTTAGGTT